AGCAGGATACGGGAAATTTCCTTGAAGTTTCCGGTGACGGGTGCGTTCCGCCGGAATACTGCGTCCATCTTCCGCGTATACTTCCGACCGGTTTCTGTGAGTTTCGGGAAGGAAATAGCAGGGCATCGTGGCAAAATTCGCCGTTTCCTGCGGGATCCTGCACCGGGAATCATCGACCTGGGTTGATGTGTTAAAACAGCTTTACTGTACTAATGCTTCTTTTTCTCTCATTCGTTTAATCTTCTCTGTACATTTCAAATATCTTAGCTACACTCGCAAGTTAGCAAAAATTAAAAAATCTATCTAAAGCGACCGTACTACTACAACAAGCTGCATGAAAACAAAATCCATGGCATAACAGATTAAAATGGAAATTCTTTTTAAAATCAAACAAGCTATCATGGAAAACTTGTCCGAAATGATATCCATATAGGATTTTCTTGTCTATTTCCACATAATTCTTTTACATGAAGTTGAAGTTTTTTTAAATTTTAACTAAGAAACAAACTGCATCTTTTGATGACGAAATCTATTTGTTGCTTATGTCAGGTAGTTTGGATTTTTACGACGTAATAAACTAGTGAACTGGAACTTTTGGGACAAAACGTTTATTTATTTTCAGTTCTCTTGAAAGTTTGTTCAATGCGTCAAAGGTATGGGTTCGAAACAGAATTTTGTGCTTGTTCTGAATGTAGGCTTCGAACTTTTATCTCAATTTTTGTTCGAAACTAGTGAGGAAATCTATGAAAGACCCACAATAATAGTTTGAACAGAAAATTTGTCCATACATATTTTTGGGTTTCACTATTGTAATTCGAAAGTAAAAGTTGGAACCTTTATTAATCTATCAACTTGTAGAGTAGAAGTTTCTCTGCAAAAAATATATTATTTCAATAATTTTTTTAGTATTCGATATAACATTTTGTAAGAAAGTATCTGCTGGACCAAACGAACGATTTCGATAGTTTTCAGCACTATGGAAAAGAGATTTATAGAAGCTGGCAAGTACCTATTGACTCATCATTCATTCTGATTTTTAGGACCTTTTCAATACTTCTTCACTACTGTCGCATAAACATAGATAGAATATTTCTAATCCTGCATCCAAAGAGAGCCCAATGTTCTGATCATTATCCATTGGTTTTTGGCTTGTTTGAGATACTTTTAGATAAGCCTAAATGAGTATGTGTATATGTTGTAGGAAAGGTATTGTGACTTTCTTTGTTACGCATGTAACTGTATTCAGAAACATGATAAAACATTGATCTTTCCTTTCAAAAGATACGCCATTGCATATTCTACTCGGATCACAAGACCAAATATTTATAGCTGTTTCGAAATTTTAATAGACTGTTAATACGGATCATGTATATCATCGTGTTATTATCTACAAGGAAAATACGAGAACGCCGACAAGTGTTGAACTTTGTTCATTCGTTTTGGCTATAATGTTTGGAGCTAATCAGAGACCTAGTGTAGTCTTCAAAGCATGAGAATTATTACTTATATTCATCTCGAGAATACAAGTGAAAAAATGTCTTTGTTAATTTTCAACTGAAGATGACGAATATACATTGAGGAGGAATCAATGCTGATCTTGTAGGAAGTATTTGTAGAATGATGAGCGTTTTAATTTTCACAGTTCTAGGGACAGTTCACTTTGTCTAACAGTAATTTGATTAAAAATGAACTTAGTGTTCAATCAAAAGATAGACTTTTCCGATTCTTCCTTGTAGGAAATAACACGATGACACACATGTTCAATGTTAGTAGTCTATTAAAATTTCGAAAATATCCAGAATGATGTGATCTTGCGATTCGAGTAGAATATTCAATGATATATCGTTCCAAAAAAAAAAAAAAGATTAACGTTTTGTCATGTTCTTGAACGCAGTTACATGCAAGACAAAGAATGCCACAATTTTTCTCGCACTCAATATTTGCATGAGAAACTTCTACTGTCACACTCCGTCCAAACTCATGTTTTTAGGTTCTAAAAAAATATCTTCCGGGTCTCGAAGAACAATGAAACAAAATTTCAAAGCGCATATTCGGAGCGAGCACAAAATTCTGTTCGTAGCACATTGCTTTGACTCATTGAAAACATTTTGTGTCAACACTTTCGACCCACACGCTATATCACCATCATCAATCAACTCTTCATTTAAAAATTATATAGTTATCTATAAGAACAACTTATCTACTATATTTTTCATTAGTCTCGGACTTTTCTTAGATAAAGCAAATATGAAAGTTTATTCTGCAGAAATCTATTGTTCAAGTTTAATTGTTAGATTCTAATTCATTGAAATTATTTAGACATTTACTCATTACTCTCATCATGTTTTATACAAAGGAAATTGAACGATGTTCTTGAAATTCTTTTTTCTCTTCTATTCTTTAACAACATCTCAATTTCTTTCTTTTTTCTTCATCATACCATAGTCTTTTGGTCGTTGTCAACAACAATATAATCAAGAAAAAAAATATAATTAAAATAATATCTAAATAGTGATTCATCAACATTACTTTTTTCTTTTTATTTTATGCATAAAAAATGAAACCTGTCATTTTTAATTCATATAAAAGATAAACTAAGGTTTCATATTATTTCTATATCGAAACAACAAAATATATATAATAAAGACAAATTTATATATTTATTCAATTAAAAATCTCTATGTGCATTTGTCCAACTACTATTCCTTGAAAATGTTTCCACGATCAACATCATCAAATTTATCTGAAGCAATAATACGAAGAAAAAAACTTGAAAAAAATTTTTTAGAAAATCAATTTTTGTCTATTGATCATGATCGAAATAAAATACGTTTAAATCATGAGCGTCATATGGAAACATTTTTACAATTAAATCGAAAACGACATGAAACTTGGTATCGGTATGACAAACATTTTCGTGAAGCTTTAAAAAAAGAAAAAGATCGATATGAAAAACGTAAAGAACGTCATGGATCAACAAGAAATCTTCACATGAGTAGTTTCCCATCACTTATAACATTAAATTCGCGACCAGAACCAATGACAAAAGTTGAACAACGTACTTTTAAAGTTTTAAATGCTTCACAAAAATTACTTGATGAATCAATAGCACGATCAAGATCTAATTTTAATCAAAGTCGTCCTTTAACATCAACAAGTACTTTTAAAAGTTCTTCAATAATAACAACAAGAAGTTCATGCACAAATATTAGTACAAATTTTAATATACCAATGATGCAATCAATCGATTTTGAAGAATATACTCGTTTAATGAATGAATCATTAAAACGTGAAACATATTGTGATTTTGTTGATCATTTTGTTAAATTTAGTCCTGAATTTCGTGAAAAATTTGCTAATTATCATCAAGCAAATAAACGAAAAAATGCTGTAGAAAAATTACGAGAATTTAATCAAACATATGCAAAAACAAAAGATCAACGTTATCATAATTTAATGAATAATCTTATTGATTTTCGTTCGAAACAAAAATAAGCATAAAATAAATTTGTGTGCGTGTGTGTGTACACTAAATAATTTTTGTTTTTGTTTGAAATTCAAGTAATTAGAAGAAAAAAAAATCTCAAGTGTTATTCATACTTAAATAAAAGAAAGTTTATTAAATAGATGGATAACATGTGAAAACTTCCAAAAAGAAAATGACCTTTATGTACAAGTCGATCTGTTAACCGGAGCAAGCAATCCAAAGAAAACGAGATAACTGAAGACGATATATTAAAGACTCTACATAATTTCATTAGAGATATAAATATTGTCTCTATCTGAGAATGAAAAACGAAAAAAATATATAATTATGATTTGAGATTCGCTAACATTCGTTCAATTTCGGCATCTTCATCATGTGCTTGTCGTCGATTTGATACCATATTAGATGCAGCTGCTGGAACACGTGGTGCAACAGCCATCTAAATAAATATATCTTTATAAATAAAAAAAAAAAAAGAACAAAAACTAACTTTTTCATTAAATGAAATGCCAATTTCATCAAGTACTTGATTAACAATAGCATCTTCTTCTTCTGAATCACCTTCTTCTCCGAATGCTGCATCTAATGTTTCTCCCACTAAATAAATAATTATCCATTAGAAAAATTAAAATTAAAAAAAAGTTTTCTACATACTCATTTCTTCCTTTATACCCAATTTTGTATGTTCTTGAGTAAATTGTTGAGTAATTTTTGACATTTGTGCCGGATTCATAACTTTATTCATTTTAGTCATTGTTTTTGCTGTTGCCTAAAATGTAGTTCAATGTATTTTTGAAAAGATAAACGAATCAACGAACTAAAAATTTGCAAGGTACAGGCTAGAAAATGTTTCTCAGTTACAGTACAGTTTGTCAAGTTGGTATCAGACACGAACCGATACATGACAAGCTTTTAGCACAAGATATGGAAAAATTTTACCCTACACATATCTATAACGAACTAACCTGCATTGCATTAGCCATTCGTATATTTGATGCCATCATTGTATTTTGTGTGGCTAAACCTTGTATTTGTCCTGATGCTTGAAACGATTGAGCTTTTTGATTTCGAATTTTAACAATCTGTTTAGCTAAAATTTCCACTGCCTACACAATAAAAAAAAGAAATTTTGGATTTTAAAGCCAAAATATTTTTTTTTGTTTTTACTTTTTTGTTTCCAGTCGAGGCATTTTTTCGAATTTCGTTTATCTCAAAAAAGATGAATTAGAGTTCAATTTAAATAAAAATAAAACAAAAAACAAATTTACTATTCGTTGTTCTTCAGTTTCGAGTCTATGCCGATCACGTACTAATTCTCGATCAGTTTTTCTTAATTCTCGAGTATGAGCTTTCGCTTGTTCTTTCATAGATAAGTTAAGAAAAAATTATTTTTTTTTTTTTTACAGAAGAAAAAAGATAAGCTTTTCGTTCTACCTGGTATCGATGCTTTTTTGCCAAACATTAGCTATCTAAAATGCAACAAGCAGAAGTATATAAAACAAATATTAATTATTTATAATTTTATTCTATCTATATTTTCATCAGTAGTATCATCTGGAGGAAAGAAAAATTGAAAAACTCCCTGAACACTATATCCTGATGTATATTCATGTTTTGGATGTCCAGCTGATACTTCTTGACAAGCTGGTCTTTGAGAAAAATCATATACATAATCAATTAATGTTCCCATTGGTTCATCACTAGCAACAAAATGTAAAGCATTGGCTTTAAAAAAAGTTTTAATTTCAGACGAATCTAATGGTAATAACGAATGAACTGAATCAGTAAAGGCTATTTTAGCAAGATTTGGTAAAATATTATCTTGACGTTTACGTAATAAATACATTAAACAATCACCGCCTGCAGAATGTGCAACAATATAAAATTTTTTTGCTGGAGATTGTGTTATAATATGATCGTAAACATAAAGAACATGTTCCCGACTTGTTGATAAATTTGGAATTTTTTGTGTTAATGGACGTGGAAGTGGATCCGAAGATAAATAAAAAGAAACAACATCATTATCATCAGATTTTTCTTCTTTTTTGTCTTTGTCTTCATTAACAGTAGGAATTTGTTCATTAGTAGCATTGACTTCCTTGTCAGTAGAAGTTGTATTTACATCGGCAGTATTCTGTTGTTCATTAGTAGAATTTGTACTTTCGCCAGCCACAATTTCTTCCTTGTTAACTGAAACTGTATCTTCAGTATCGTTTGATTTTTCAACAACATAACTTGTTTGATTTGGATTCAGAATTATTACAGATAAATTATGTTCTTTGGCTTTATCCATGTAAGGAAACATACCTGAGAAAGAAAGAAAGAAAGAAATTATTCTTTAGAACACTTGTATTCGATCGATAATATAATAATATGAGTCTCAAAGAAGAAAAATTATCATTCGTGAACTAAAGTGTTTAATCTTACGAGGAGCGTGTCCACAATTGATTGATAGCTTTTGAGTTGGGACCAAGGAGGAAAAGTGTATTTCCAGATATTTCTGAAATACTTAGAACTACGCTCTTTCCCCAATGAACTGAAACTGTTACTAGAAACTATTCATATTAAAGTGTGTCTCTGTACAAAATTTGAAGTTGAAATTCAAAGATCAGTTTTCCTGACGAGGGAACCTTCTCAGGTGCCCCCCGCCGATTTCAATGAAACTTTGTCCATAGATAGTATATAATGCTATAGTAAAAACCCTAAAAGAGTTTGAGTGCGAATCGCTTCCTTCAAAAGTTATGGCCATTTTACTGAATTTTCGATCTATTCCTAGATATTTATCGAACAAATCAAATTATCGAATTTCGACCTGCAATTTTGTCCATAGGTAGGTCTAATGACCTTTAGAAAATTCTGAAAGTTTCAGCTAAAAAGAATGTTCCTTTCTCGAAATATTGAGTTTTCAAGTGAACTCGGTTTTTGTGATCTATCTGTGACAAGCGACTATTTTTCGAAAACTCAATCTTTCGAGAAAGGAACATTCTTTTTAGCTGAAACTTTCAGAATATTCTCAGGGTCATTAGACCTACCTATAGACAAAATTGCAGGTCGAAATTCGATAATTTGATTTGTTCGATAAATATCTAGGAATGGCTCGAAAATTCAGTAAAATGGCCATAACTTTTGAAGGAAGCGATTCGCACTCAAATCCTTTTAGGGCTTTTACTATGGCATTGTATAGTATCTATGACGAAGTTTCATTGAAATCGGCGAGGGGCACCTGAGAAGGTTCCCTCGTGAGGAGAAGCACCGCATTGAGTTAAACAATATTGTAAACATGTATATTATCTCTACAGCAATAAGCTAAAGAACTGAACTCTTTTCAAGATATTCATTGTTCATGAGAATCTACATGATACAGATAATTCCAACTCAAAAAACAATTAATCCATTGAAGAACTTCCTTCATTAGTATCTTAATGTAAAAAGGATAGAGTCATTTAAAGATACTCAAAAAAAAAAATTTTTTTACATTCAACTATTGAATTGATGGATTTTACGCTGTACTTTCTTAGCAATCTTTCAATTAAATTTACTGCAAATCATCTTTGTTTCAATTTCCGATCTGTTTGAATTTTTATCACCATTCGAAATATCAATATGAAGTTTTTTTTAAAATATCGTGTGCAATTTTTAGGATTCCGTAGTCACATAATATGAATTGTTAATTATAACATACTTCCTATATCGAGAGATTCATTAATACAACATGAACGTGCCCATTGCCCTGGACGTACAACACCTGAACCTTGAATTAATATTAAACATCCATTTTCATTTGTTTTAAAATCATTTGAAGTAAATATATTAACTTGATCATGATGATCATTTGTAGGTTCATCTTTAATAGGTAACCATATTTCTTCATAATTCCATGGATCAGATTTTATTAATGATTGAATATATGTATCTATACAACTACCAAGTAAATTATAATGACGTTGTGTAAGAAAAACAAATTTTTCATTTGTTAAACAATGATGTAATTCATTTGAATTATTATATGAATAATTAAATTCCTCAATAAATTTTGGATTTTTTGTTTTCGGTATTGTTGAAAGAATACTATTAATACGAGTTTGAATTTCTTCTGGAAGACAATCACGTTTAATTGGTTCATGACAAAAATCACAAGGTAATTTTTCAGTAAATAATAAACCTATTTTACCACTCTTAATAACTGATGAAATTATTTTCGACCAACATAAATCACAAATTCGATCATTTTCATTCGAACAACATTGATATAGTTTGGTAGATTCTTCATTACAAATAGCACATTCATCTATTGTTTTAGATATAGTAGTCATCTAGAATAAATGGAAAAGTTCAAAAATTCTTGTTTTACTTAATGAATCAAAAAAAAAATAAATGATTAATACACGATCAAACAAATTCATGTGTAATCTATTACAGTGTCTTGTTATATTAAACGATGTGTTATTCTTTTTTTTTTTTTTAGAAGTTTGTATTCTTTGCCACATATTTCATCTTTGTGAATAGACATAATTTCGATCATTTGAACTGATGAATGCATATATATTTGAAATAAAGCTTTTCATCATTATTGATTGTTTTATTGCAATCAAAAATGTGAATGACCACTTCTATTATTTGGATTAATACTTGTATTACTTGATACTTGAGAATTTATAAAAGCTGCTGGATCAGCATAAGTTGAATCTTGAGATAATAATTGATGATGTTCATTTTGAGAAGGTTGATATACATCATACATATCCTAAGTCAAAATAAAAAGTTATATGTAACAGACATATTAGAAAAACATTCAATAGACTACTGTATTTTTCTGTCAAGTTTGAGAAAATAACGAAAATTATATTTTTGTTTTGTATGTAAAAATATTTAATTGAACTATTCATTAGTCTTCAATTAAATGATTAAAGAGTTTTTTGAAATAATTAAAATTCAATTTTTTGTACATTTTGAATTTTATACAAAAGGTTTGATAATCATCATCTTGGAACTCAGAATTCAATAAGAAAAATTTATCCAAAACATTATTTTGAAAGTATTTAAGGAGCAATAATTATTATTGAATCAATAGACTTAAAGATATTCTTCGTTCAAATTATGAATAAATAATTACCGGTTGAGAAAAGTCTTGCTGTGAAAAACCATATGCATGTTGAGACATAAGACCACTTTGTGATACTGGATATGGTTGACTTATTGTACCACCTTGTGTAAAACTTGAATTATCCTATAAAAAATATTTTTGTTTTGTCATTATAAATTTTATTTCATTAAACAAAATGAATACCTGTGATTGTGTTGCATTATTTTTCGAAAATCGTGGTGGTTTAGATGGATTTTTGACTCTTCCACCGCCTCCTCGAGCACCTCGAGCCATTGCCGTTTGATTATTCATTTGTCGATCTAAATTATAATGAAAAAAAGAAAATTATTACCTGTACGAAAATTTTCTTTTTAAATTTACCATTCATCATAGGATTAAATGGTGGTGGTCCACTCATATATGACATTGGCATAGTAGTCATCATCATTTGATGTGGCATTGGTAAATTAAGTCCATTTGGTGGTTGTGACATACCAACCATTGATCCGGTATCAATATAACTTAATGGATCATGAGCACGTAGATTTGAATTAATATTGTTTCCATACAATGGTCCATTCATTTGACGTTTATCACTCATTGTAGCTGTTCTATCATAGATTGATCCAGGAATTAATGCTTCTTTAGCTATGAAAAAAAAATAAATAAATTCTTTTCTACTTTTTTTTTTTTTTTTTTTTATGAAGAGAAAAAACAAACCAGAAAACATAGCATTTGACATAAATCGACCACCAGGATTAGTTGGATTAAGAAGTTTTTTTGGTTTCGAAAATTGTATAGCACTTTCTTTAAGATTATTTAATGGACCTTCAACAAGTACATGTTGTTCTTTATAATATGTTAATAAATGATTCCATAATGGTTGACGTGAAAGAACTTTTGGATTACCTG